AGCTGTCAGTTGGTGCAGTTCTAAACAAAGCATTGTAGCGGGATCTACATGTGAAGCGGAGTACATAGCTGCTTCGGAAGCAGCAAATGAAGGAGTCTGGATGAAGGAGTTCATATCCGATCTAGGTGTCATACCTAGTGCATCGGATCCAATGAAAATCTTTTGTGAAAATACCGGTGCAATTGCCTTGGCAAAGGAATCCAGATTTCACAAGAGAATCAAGCACATCAAGAGACGCTTCAATTCCATCCGGGATCTAGTCCAGGTGGGAGACATAGAGATTTGCAAGATACATACGGATCTGAATGTTGCAGACCCGTTGACTAAGCCTCTTCCACGAGCAAAACATGATCAACACCAAAGCTCCATGGGTGTTAGAATCATTATTGTGTAATCTAGATTATTGACTCCAGTGCAAGTGGGAGACTGAAGGAAATATGCCCTAGAGGCAATAATAAAGTTATTGTTTATTTCCTTATATCATGATAAATGTTTATTATTCATGCTAGAATTGTATTAACTGGAAACATAATACATGTGTGAATACATAGACAAACAGAGTGTCACTAATATGCCTCTACTTGACTAGCTCGTTAATCAAAGATGGTTATGTTTCCTAACCATGAACAAAGAGTTGTTATTTGATTAACGGGATCACATCATTAGGTGAATGATCTGATTGACATGACCCATTCCATTAGCTTAGCACCCGATCGTTTAGTATGTTGCTATTGCTTTCTTCATGACTTATACATGTTCCTATGACTATGAGATTATGCAACTCCCCTTTGCCGGAGGAACACTTTGTGTGCTACCAAACGTCACAATGTAAATGGGTGATTATAAAGGTGCTCTACAGGTGTCTCCAAAGGTACATGTTGGGTTCGCGTATTTCGAGATTAGGATTTGTCACTCCGATTGTCGGAGAGGTATCTCTGGGCCCTCTCGGTAATGCACATCACATAAGCCTTGCAAGCATTGCATCTAATGAGTTAGTTGCAAGATGATGTATTACCGAACGAGTAAAGAGACTTGCCGGTAACGAGATTGAACTAGGTATTGAGATACCGACGATCGAATCTCGGGCAAGTAACATACCGATGACAAAGGGGAACAACGTATGTTGTTATGCGGTCTGACCGATAAAGATCTTCGTAGAATATGTAGGAGCCAATATGAGCATCCAGGTTCCGCAATTGGTTATTGACCGGAGACGTGTCTCGGTCATGTCTACATTGTTCTCGAACTCGTAGGGTCCGCACGCTTAAGGTTTCGATGACAGTTATATTATGAGTTTATGAGTTTTGATGTACCGAAGTTAGTTCGGAGTCCCGGATGTGATCACGGACATGACGAGGAGTCTCGAAATGGCCGAGACATAAAGATTGATATATTGGACGGCTATATTCGGACACCGGAAGTGTTCCGGGTGATTTCGGAGAAAACCGGAGAGCCGGAGGGTTACCGGAACCCCCCGGGAGAAGTAATGGGCCATATGGGCCTTAGTGGAAAGAGAGAGGGGCAGCCAAAGGTGGGCCGCGCGCCTCCTGCCCCCCTGGTCCGAATTGGACTAGGAGAGGGGGGGCGGCGCCCCCCTTTCCCTCTCCCTCCCCACTTCCTTCCCCCTCCTAGTAGGAGTCCTACTCCTACTAGGAGGAGGACTCCTCCTTGGCGTGCCTATAGGGCCGGCCGGCCTCCTCCCCTTGCTCCTTTATATACGGGAGCAGGGGGGACCCCTAGACACAAAAGTTGATCCACGTGATCATATTCTTAGCCGTGTGCGGTGCCCCCTTCCACCATAGTCCTCAATAATATTGTAGCGGTGCTTAGGCGAAGCCCTGCGACGGTAGTGCATCAAGATTGTCACCACGCCGTCGTGCTGACGGAACTCTTCCCCGACACTTTGCTGGATCGGAGTCCGGGGATCGTCATCGAGCTGAACGTGTGCTAGAACTCGGAGGTGCCGTAGTTTCGGTGCTTGATTGGTCGGGCCGTGGAGACGTACGACTACATCAACCAAACGCTTCCGTTGTCGATCTACAAGGGTACGTAGATCACACTCTCCCCTCTCGTTGCTATGCATCACCATGATCTTGCGTGTGCGTAGGAAATTTTTTGAAATTACTACGAAATCCAACATAGGTTGGTGCACAAGTTTGTATCTCGCCCACTAAAGCAATCAAGCTAGTGTCTCTCTTGCATTGTGCAACACTCTTGGCCTCAATCAATCATATTTTCTCACTTCTTGATTGTATGACCCTATCTATCTGTTTGTTTGTGTGTGTTTTGTTTCAAAGCTACCTATTGATCTATTTGCATCACATTTCAAATTTGTGCATCTTTTTCAACAGTTTTGATATCTCCACTAACACTTGCTTAATTTTGTGCAACTTATCCTCACGGAGCCACCTTCGTTTGGTCACAAGGCAGGGAAATGGAGGATTTGCTTCTTAGACTAAAGAAAGAGGAAATAGTTAGGACAGTTTTTTTTAGTTTTTTTGTAGGTGTGAGTGATAAGATCAGGTACCAAATTCACTCTATTTGCTTTCATATTGAGTGATATTCGATACATTCTCAATTTTGATAAGAGGTAACTTTAGTATTGTTCTTCTCATTTCCATTTACACTTGAGTGTTGTGATGGATAGACACATCCATCACATGAGAACTATAGCTCACTTATAGCAAGATGTTAACTCCCCCCTCCCCTCCACCCCCTCAACAGCGTCCGGGTTAATGGGCTTGATCAGTATCGTGCTTCGGTCGTTGTGGCTCGCTTGGTCGGTATTGTTCATTCGGGCGCTAGCTATTGGTTTTGGTTTCCTTCGGGTATTTTTCTTTTGTTTTTACTTCAATTTTCTTTATTTCTAAATGATTTTCTTCAGCCTTTTGTTTTCTTTTTGTTTTTTCACCTGTTTTGTTTCTTTCTTGGTTTTTACTTGTTTTCCCCATTTTTCCTACAATTTTCTTCGGACCCCTTATTTCTTTCTCAGTTTTCATTTTTTTTCTTAGGTTTTTTATTTCTCTTTTGTTTTTGTTTTTGTTTCTCGGCTATCACTGTTTCCTTCCTTTTTCATTCGGTTTCTTTGGTTTCCTTTTTCCTTTCTCGGACTAATTTGTTTTTTTCTCGCTTTTCATTGGTTTTCTTCATTTCTTTGTCGGGTTTCATTGGTACTTATTTGTTCAACATATGTCTACATTTTTCAGTACACAATGTACATTTTTAGTTTGCATGCGAAACATTTGTTGATACACGTTGAACATTTTTAAATACACGATGTATATTTTTTTCTTAAATACATGTTTCAAAGAGTTTTTTGAATACATAGGCAGCATTGTTATAAAAACACGGTGAACATTACTTTAATGGAAATAAACATTTTATATTTTTTTGTATACATCAGGACCACTTTTTTATATGCATTTACATTTTATAAATACATCAAGCATTTTTCATATACATCTGAAACATAGTTTGTGTACATGTTTTACTTTTTTTAAACATGCGATCAACATTTTTGTCTAACATATGGTTTTGATGTCTACTTTTTAATATAAATTATACATTTTTGTATGCATAAGGAACACTTCTTTTACACATGTTTAACATTTTTAAACATATGATTAATATTTTATCATGCATATGTTTTCTATATTCCTATTTTTCATACACACTATAAAATTTTATGTACACATTTGAAACATTGTTTTTATATACGGATAGCATTTTTCAAATACATGATTTTTCTTAAATATGTGTTTTTCATGTCTACTTTTTACATGCGGTGTACATTTTTCATATACATGGCAAACATTTTTGTATACCCATTCAATAATTTTTAATTGCAGAATTAACATTCTTCTAAATACATGCTGATCCCACGTGCGTACGGGGACACCACGCATGCATCCGGTCTCCATCCCTCGATAGCTTCGTCCCATATTTGCTCCGGCTTGCCAGCAGACATCGGAGGCTCGCCCAACCTAGCTTGATTTGCAGCTTCCGTAGTTCAAGGTAGACAAACATGACCAGCAGATTATATTCCCATAATTATAAATCAATAAAACCAGCAGATTATCTCGCAAAAAAAACAGCAGATTGAACTAAAAATTAAAATTAGAGACTTGCTAATATCGAACTCCTTAAACAATTTAACATGAAGCACCAGTGGTCTAGTGGTAGAATAGTACCCTGCCACGGTACAGACCCGGGTTCGATTCCCGGCTGGTGCACTTTTTGTTCGCCAGTCAAGCAAAACTAGGGTTGTTTCTTCTGTCTTTGACTATATATATAAGATGATGTCTTACACTTTGTGCTGCTGATGCACAACTAGGGTTGTTTCTTCTGTCTTTACTATATATAAGATGATGGCTTACACCTTGTGCTGCTGATGCACAGTTGTTTTTGCTTCAGCATACCAAGATGGGAATACAAGGGAATCTCTTACAGCATTGCCCGTTGCTAGGGTCTATAACATGCTTGAAGTTGCTACCCTGTCTTTAATTTCCTGCAGCTTTGATGCAACTCCGACAAGTGATAAGAGTTCAGATGGAATATCATACAAGCACCAAGCTCTCAGTAACACAGCTGTAGCTTTACATACTATCAATACTGCCACTTCAAATTTAGCACAGGTTATGGCCTCCTTTGGTTTGGAGGAATTTTGTAGGATTTTCATAAGATAGGATTTCTATAGGAAAAATTTCTTCAGAGCTCTTTGGTTTGTAGGAATGAAATCCTATTTCTATGAAGGAATTCTTCCTATCCTCCACATTTCATAGGAAAATAAACATTAGCCTAGAGTCAATGGAAAAAATCCTATGGTGTGAATCAAAGGGCATCTCCTTTTCTATTCCTATGCATAGGATTTGAGATGCATGTCATCTCATTTCCTACGACTTTCCTATTCCTATGATTTTTCAATCCTATGAACCAAAGAAGGCCTATATATGTTGGTCTCTGAAGAAAAGAAAACTGTTATGATTTGCCTGCTGTATCGATCACAAGTTGTGTGTTGTCTGTGAAAAGGATTCTTTGATGGCCTCCAATTGCCTGACGATGTCTCCAGTTAGCATTCTGCTGGACGGTGTTTCATCACAGCACCACATTCCCAGCCTGAGCAGCGATGTCAGACAGTCCATCTTTTTCTTCCTTGAAAAATCATCCGCGGTCCGGAGCTCATCTTCGAGCCGCTTGTCGATAACATCCATCATGCTATGACCCAGAGCTTTCTCAACGTATTCACGGAGCCTCAGCCCTTGTCTGAATATAGTGTCTGTGGGCCTCTTCCCAGTTACAGTTTCTAGAACAAGAATCCCGTAACTGTAAATGTCTCCGTTTGTTGACACCATGTTTCCAGCCCCATATTCTGTTGCATATATTGGACGTGGAAAATAATCAGACATCTTAATTACAAAGTGCATAGATAGTAATTAAGTATTGATGGTATGGACACAACCAAATAGTAAATCATAGGAAGTTCAGAAATAGTTCCATCTGCATATCAAACACTAAGGAACAAGAAAATTATGCTTGTAAATAAATATGGAAAATGAAAAATTGTTAGTCTAACCTGGGGCTGCATAACCAATTGTTCCAGCAAGTCCCATCGAGCTCGTTGACTGCTGGAGAGATGAGTTTCCCTCAACAAGAATCCTTGCAAGCCCAAAGTCTCCCACATGGGCCACCATATCAGCATCCAGGAGCACATTACTTGACTTAACATCACAGTGTACAACAGGTGCGGGGCCATGGCAGTGAAGATAGTCCAGCGCACAAGCCACATCAAGCAGTATGGTCACTCTAAGGCACAGATCCAGCTGCTCCCGCTCTGTTTGCTCACTTGTCTCAAGATGTAGCCACCCATCTAGGGTGCCATTGGGCATGAACTCATACACAATCGCTTTGAAATCGCACCCTCTAGTATCGATGCTCGAGCAGACCGTAACTATCTTGACAAGATTCCGGTGCCGCATGTTTCTTAGCGCTTCGCATTCGGCGGCGAAACTCCTGAGTGCCCTGGGAGTTTGAAGCTTCAATACCTTCACAGCAACAATATTTTCTCTTTCACCCTCTTGGCCATCTAACCCTCCCTTGTACACGACCCCAAATGATCCAGAACCCAACAAGTTGGTTGTCGAAAAACCATCCGTTGCTTTTACCAGCTGCGAATAAGATATCATTGGGTGGCTCTGCATGGATGTGGATGAAGGGGGTTTTGTTCTGTTTTTCTTGTGCCAAACGCCAAGCTTGTAGAGCGTTGCAAGCACGACAAGCGTTGCAATGAGAGAGAGAACAATAGGAACCACAAAATGTTTATGCTTCCTCTTTGGTAGTTGAGAAGAACAAGGAGGCAGATGCAGAGTAGGTATACCACCACAAAGTTCAACGCTGCCTTGGATTGAGATTGCGGTAGCACTTGCGAAGACACCAAAAGTCGGCACGTCTCCGACAAACCGGTTAAGGGACAGGTTCAGATACTGGAGCATGCTGATATTGCCAAGGAACTTGGGTATCTGGCCTGACAAGTTGTTGCTTGACATGTCAAGGGTTTCAAGACCCATCAGTTGATTCAGGGTTGATGGGATGCTACCGCTCAAGGAATTGCTTTGCAGGTACAGAATCTGTAGAAGTCGACATTCACCAATGGTGGCTGGAATTTCACCAGATAATCTGTTTGATTCTAAATGCAGTTCCGCGAGATTTTTCAGATTCCCGATTTCTTGTGGTATCGGTCCCTCTAGATCATTGTGTGACACATCAAGTACTATGGAGAGTGTTTGGATGCTGAATAATGTGCTGGGTATTGGACCAGTGAAGCTATTTGCTGAAAGACCTAGTGAATACAGCTTTGCCAGGTTTCCGAGTGTGCTTGGTATTCTACCACTGAACGCGTTCATGTCGAGCCGCAGATCAGATAGTCCGGTAAGATTTCCTATGGTCGACGGGACCGGCCCGGTCAAATTGTTTCCAATGACATAGAGACGGGCCAAATTTTGAAGCCTTCCCAAGGAAGAGGGGAGACTTCCGGTGAAGAAGTTGTGGGACATGTCGAGATTGCGTAAGTTTACGAGGTTACTAATATCCTCTGGAATGCTTCCTGTGATCTTGTTGGCCCCAAGTTCGAGGTCATAGAGTGAAGTGGATAGGTTGGAGAGTGAGCCAGCAGGAAGAACACCTCCAAACTTATTACCAGCCAATCCTAGCTCTTGTAACTGGGAGCAATTTGCCAGATGGGTTATGAACTCCCAATCTCTTGGCTCATTAGCTTCAAACAGATTGTTCTGGATAAGCAGAAAATTGAGATTCCCTAGCCTGCCGATGTCGCTGGGAACGATGCCGGTGAAAAGGTTGCCGTCGAGCTGAACCAGCGAAATGTTGGAAGCATTTGCTATGGACACCGGGAAAGGGCCATGGAGCTGGTTGTTGTTGATGAGTATCTGGTGGAGGCGGGGCATGGCGGCGAACGCGCCGGGGGGCATGGCGCCGCTTAGCATGTTGTACATGACGGAGAAGACGACGAGAGAAGAGAGGTTCCAAATGGAGGCGGGCATCGCCCCGATTAACTGGTTGTACTCCACGTTGAAGTACGACATGTTGCGCGGCTGCCCGAGAGACGGAGGGATGGCTCCCGAGAGGCGGTTGTAATGGAGGTAGAGCTCCTGGAGGCCGGTGAGGTTGCCCAGCGCGGCCGGGATCTCGCCGGACAGGTCGTTGTAGCACAGAGACAGGACCTGCATGGAGCGCAGCTCCGCCAGCGACGGAGGGATGTGCCCCGTGAGGTTGTTCCGGTGGAGGTCCAGCATGGTGAGCTTTCTCAAGGCGGTGCCGATGAGGGCGGGGATCGTACCTCGGAGGCTGTTCCTGCCCAGGACGAGCGAGGTGAGGTTGGTGCACCCTGCGGCGACGGCCGCCGGGATGGTTCCTCCGAGGGAGTTGGCGCTCAGGTCGAGGGAGCGGAGACGGCTGAGACGGCCGAGCTCCGGCGGTATCTCACCGGCGAGCCGGTTGCCGCCGAGGTCCAGCTCCGCGAGGGCGGACAGGTTGCCCAGGTGCGGCGAGATGCGGCCGGACAGGTTGGAGGAGCCCAGGCGCAGCGCGACGACCTGCTTCTCGCGGCTGCATGCCACGCCCGGCCAGCGGCAGAAGTGGCTCGACGTGTTCCATGATGCCAGTACCGGCGAACCACCGTCAGACAGCAGCATGGACTTGAAGGCGAGGAGCGCGAGCTCGTCGGTGGCCGCCGGAGCCGAAGAAGAAGGTGGTGACGCCAGCTGGTCAGCATGGGAGCTGGGGCACAAGAACGTGAAGAGCAGCACCAACCTCACCATGGTTCCTGCCATGTGAAGAAACATGGCTGGCGACAAGTTAAGAGAAAGATTCGCTTTGCTTTGCACGTATATATAGACGTACGCCGGTACGCGCATTTAACTTAGAGCTAGTAGTGCCAGTAGCAGGTCCACGGTCTACGGGGAACCAACCTATGGTTAGAGAGACTATGGTTAGAAAGACCGTAGTATTTCCGTTTCATCAGGGTTCAAGTCCTGATGCTTGTATTTATTCATGAATTTATTTCAGGATTTTCGGCGATGCGCATTCGGTGAAAGGAAATGTTTTCATCGACGACGAGGTGTTTATGGTGGCTTTGTAAATTTCAAGATGATATGTCGGCTCAGTCTTTCAGAAATGTTCATAGAGGTAGAGTGTGCGTGTATACGCTCATAGGGGTGAGTGTATGCATTTGTATATGAATGCTTGCGTCTGTAGTGTGTTTAAAAAAAAGTCCACAGTCTACCTATATACCGGTCGTCGTCAAGTGGACCTTCCGTGTGGATGCATGCGTATGCTTACTGGACTTAAGCAGAAAATTGCGCGGTACCGTCACATCCTTAGATTAATTAGTGCTATTTTTTCATAAGATGCCAATTTTTTTCTCAAATGAATACACAAACAAAGACGGTCCACAACAGCGGCCTTTTATGTCAGATGCTAGCCAGAGCGACGCGATCGGTCAACCGGGTGGCACCACTTCAATGTAGGCGTGATGACCAAGAAAACTACTTCGACCGTTGTGCCGCATTGAAGCCAGTTTCACATCCCTTCGCCTGAGAGAGAGAGAGAGAGAGAGAGAGAGAGAGAGAGAGGCGGTGCGAGGTTGGGGAAGGGTAGGGTAGGGTAGGGTACAGCAAAGGATGGTGAAGTTCAAAGGTGGGGGAGCAATGGCGGATTTATTGCTGAGAGCGAATAGGGTTGGGCTCGCTGATCCACGCCCCAAGGCAGTCAACATTTTCTTCGACTGGCCGTTGTGGGAGTAATTTCAAGAGTAATATCGGGTCCAACTCAGCAAATTAGGTTATGTTTATGCCTCAAGGCGGTCAACATTTTCTTTGACTGACCAGACCCCTTTTGCGTCTTTTTTTTGTCTCGTACATGTGTATTTTTGGGTGTGTTTATGTAATTTTCATTTTTATAATGATCGTGAGTATATTTTTTTGTCAAATTCTTATTGGATTAAAATTTCCATGGACGACAAATGAGAGATGGGCTGACTCTCTAGATCGATAGTAGTGGGCCTTAGCTGAAATTAACGGACGTAAATTCTAATCAGGTTGATTATTACTATATGGGCTGCCACTCATGGGCTTGGTTGAAATTTAATGGGCTAAAAAAATTAGATGGCTGATTACTACATGGGCCGCCATGTTAGATGCTGATGTGGCGGAAAATTAGATGGCTGATTACTACATGGGCCGCCATGTTAGATGCTGATGTGGCTAATGAGTACAGATGGATTTCAAAAGGAAGACGGACAATGATGGTCAATGTCACCATTAAGAAAGCTCGACTTGTCGTTAAGATGTTTTCCGACAAGTTCAAGGAGTTGACTACGATGAGATTTTCTCACTCGTAGCGATGCTAAGAGTCTGTTGGAATTATATTAGCGATTGCTGCATTATTTATGAAATCTTGCAGATAGGATGTCAAAACATTGTTTCCTCGACGATTTTAATGAGGAAAGGTTGTATGTGATACAACCGGAAGGTTTTGTCAATCCCGAAAGATGCTAATAAGTATGCAAAGCTCCAGCAATCCTTCTAAGGACTGGAGTGAGCATCTCGGAGTTGGAATGTATGCTTTGATGATGATCAAAAATTTTGGGTTTGTACAAAGTTTATGAGAAACTTGTATTTCCAAAGAAGTGAGTGGGAGCACTATAGAATTTCTGATGAGTATATGTTGTTGACATATTGTTGATCAGAAATGACGTAGAATTTCTGGAAAGCATATAGGGTTATTTTGAAAGTGTTTTTCAATGGAAAGCCTGGATTAAGCTACTTGAACATTGAGCATCAAGATCTATAAGGATAGATCAAAATGCTTAATAATACTTTCAAATGAGCACATACCTTGACATGATCTTGAAGGTGTTCAAGATGGACCAGTCAAAGAAGGAGTTCTTGCCTGAGTTGTAAGGTACGAATTTAAGACTTAAAGCTCGACCACGGCAGAATAGAGAGAAAGGACGAAGGTCGTCCCCTATGCTTAAGACGTAGGCTCTTCAGTATGCTATGCTGTATACCGCACCTGAAGTGTGCCTTGCCATGAGTCAGTCAAGGGGTACAAGAGTGATCCAAGAATGGCTCACAGGACAACGGTCAAAGTTATCCTCAGTAACTAGTGTACTAAGGAATTTTCTCGATTATGGAGGTGGTAAAAGAGTTCGTCGTAAAGGTTACGACGATGCAAGCTTGACACCTATCCGGATAGCTCTGAGTAGAGAGACCGGATACATATAATGGAGCAATAATTTAGAATAGCTCCAAGTAGAACAGTTGTTTGGAATAGCTCCAAATAGAGCGTGGTAGCTGCATCTAGGAGATGACATAGAGATTTGTAAAGCACACACGGATCTGAAAGGTTCAGACCCGTTGACTAAAACCTCTCTCACAAGCAACATGATCAAACATAAAACTCATTGAGTGTTAATCACATAGTGATGTGAACTAGACTACTGACTCTAGTAAACTCTTGGGTATTAATCACATGGCGATGTGACCTGTGAGTGTTAATCACATGGCGATGTGAACTAGATTATTGACTCTAGTGCAAGTGGGAGACTGTTGGAAATATGCCCTAGAGGCAATAATAAAAGTATTATTATTATATTTCCTTGTTCATGATAATTGTCTTTTATTCATGCTATAACTGTATTATCCAGAAATCGCAATACACGTGTGAATACATAGACCACAATATGTCCCTAGTGAGCCTCTAGTTGACTAGCTCGTTGTGATCAACAGATAGTCATGGTTTCCTGGCTATGGACATTGGATGTCGTTGATAACGGGATCACATCATTAGGAGAATGATGTGATGGACAAGACCCAATCCTAAGACTAGCACAAAAGATCGTGTAGTTCATTTGCTAGAGCTTTGCCAATGTCAAGTATCTCTTCCTTCGACCATGAGAGCGTGTAACTCCTGGATACCGTAGGAGTGCTTTGGGTGTATCAAACGTCACAACGTAACTGGGTGACTATAAAGGTGCACTACAGGTATCTCCGAAAGTATCTATTGTTTTATGCGGATCGAGACTGCGATTTGTCACTCCGTGTAAACGGAGAGGTATCTCTGGGCCCACTCGGTAGGACATCATCATATGCGCAATGTGACCAAGGAGTTGATCACGGGATGATGTGTTACGGAACGAGTAAAGTGACTTGCCGGTAACGAGATTGAACAAGGTATTGGATACCGACGATCGAATCTCGGGCAAGTAACATACCGATAGACAAAGGGAATTGAATACGGGATTGATTAAGTCCTTGACATCGTGGTTCATCCGATGAGATCATCGTGGAACATGTGGGAGCCATCATGGGTATCCAGATCCCGCTGTTGGTTATTGACCGGAGAACGTCTCGGTCATGTCTACATGTCTCCCGAACCCGTAGGGTCTACACACTTAAGGTTCGATGACGCTAGGGTTATAAAGGAAGTTTGTATGTGGTTACCGAATGTTGTTCGGAGTCCTGGATGAGATCCTGGACGTCACGAGGAGTTCCGGAATGGTCCGGAGGTAAAGATTTATATATGGGAAGTCCTATTTTGGCCACCGGAAAATGTTCGGGATTTTTCGGTATTGTACCGGGAAGGTTCTAGAAGGTTCCGGAGTGGGGCCCACCTGCATGGGGGGACCCACATGAACGTGGGTAGTGGGGGCAAGGCCCCACACCCCTGGTCAAGGCGCACCAAGATCCCCCCTTAGAAGGAATAAGATCATATCCCAAAGGGATAAGATCAAGATCCCTAAAAAAGGGGGATAACAATCGGTGGGGAAGGAAATAATGAGATTTCTTTCCTCCCACCTTGGCCAACGCCCCAATGGACTTGGAGGGCAAGAAACCAGCCCCTCCACCCCTATATATAGTGGGGAGGCGCATGGGAGCTATACACGAAGTTCTGGCGCAGCCCTCCCCCTCTCCCAAGTACTCCTCTTCTCCCGTGGTGCTTGGCGAAGCCCTGCAGGATTGCCACGCTCCTCCACCACCACCACGCCGTTGTGCTGCTGCTGGATGGAGTCTTCCTCAACCTCTCCCTCTCTCCTTGCTGGATCAAGGCGTGGGATACGTCACCGGGCTGTACGTGTGTTGAACGCGGAGGTGCCGTGCGTTCGGCACTTGATCATCGGTGATTTGAATCACGACGAGTACGACTTCATCAACCCCGTTCACTTGAACGCTTCCGCTTAGCGATCTACAAGGGTATGTAGATGCACTCTCCTTCTACTCGTAGCTGGTTTCTC